CTCGTATGATATTATTACACTGTTTCAGTGTTTGTTTTGTTGCCCTTTGGTATTGTTGGGTCGGGTTTTTGTCGATTTTTATAAACTGGTTATTGTCTATGAAGTTATTTATTTTCTGTTTATATTCTTCTTCTGTTAGTATTACTAGTGTTTTTCCTTTATCTGCTTTCGTTATAATAAGTTTATTCTCTTTTATTTTATTTTTTATATTCATTATTTGTTTCCATTCCCTTTTATCATTCTTATCTTTATTGTTTTTATTCCTTTCATTATTATTCTTGTGTATATCTTTTAGTTTCTTCGCAATTAGGTGTCTATAATAATTTTGTTCTGTTATTTCTAGGTTATTTATTGCTGTTTCAGCTTCTAGGGCTAATGTCTCGATCCATTTTTCATTCTTGTGATGTAGATTATATTTAAGGCCTTTACTTAATATTTGGTTTTCTTCGTGTGTAAATTGTATATTTGTTTGGTTCACTACCCTCGTGTATTGTATGTTTTTACTTGTTGTATCTGTATTTTGTGTTTTCATCATGTTGTTTATTTTTTGTTGTTGTTTTTGATATGTTGTTTCCATATCTTTCTGTAATTTTTCTTCTATTGATTGCTCGATGTTATTCCATGTTCGTTGCCATGTGTTTGCATTGTGTATGTGAATATGATAGAGTTGTGTATTTAGTTGTTGTTTCTTTTTGTATAGAAATTTTATTTCATTTTTTATGCGTATTGTCTGGGCTGTATTTGTGTTTTCACAAACATCAAACAGCGAAGCGGCTAAGAAAACACAAATACAGGCCCAGACAATACGCATAAAAAATGAAATAAAATTTCTATCAGGATCTCTGGTTCACCAGAAAGAGTGAACATAGAAACCTTAATTTTTGGTGGAAGCACCCAGTGAGTGGCACTCCCAATAAAGGGATAATGATGGCCAGCATCAGACAGATGCATTTTACTACTAGATGTGAACCCGGTACTTTTCACATGCACAAATGTTTCATTCTATTAAGCAGACAGGTCGTGTGGAAAAACCTGCACAAGTCCTTTACATTACCCTCAGCCCACCAAATCTCCAGTTACATGACCTGAATGTGTTATACCAAGTGTGAAACAAATGTAATCACATATGGGTTTGAGATTTCATGACAGTAAAGATTCAGGCTGTGGTCTTCTGAGCTGTAACACCACGTAGTGAGGTACACCATTATCAACATTCTGAAGGAGCCTGCTGGATACATCTTCTACCCTGAAGATGGTGGAAACAGGTTCCTCTGAAACACTGGTAACTACCTACCATACTACACGGTATCATAACCTAGAGGACCACTATCTAAACATAAATGTAATTATAAAGCATGCATTCACAGCAAAAAAAAATCCATAATTAGCTTATCATAATAAAATAATAGTTCTAGTTAGAGCAAATAATACAAACAAATGTTTATTAAAGATTCCTTTCATCTCAATAATTGAAGTAATAATTAAAACAGTTATTTTACTAGAACAATGACCACAGAAGTTGTAAATACATCCAGAATATATTTCTTGTCAGTATTAATTATAAGCAAAATTTCATTCCTTAACAGTAAATTTGCTGAACATAAGATTAAATTATTGTAATAACTTAAAAAATATACTGTGCCTACATAATTTAAGAAAGCTAAATTTTCAATGTTATTCTGGTCAGTGAAATAAACTGATTCTGTTAAAAAGTACGTTTAAATATGCATGGACCCTCATCTTGCTAAGAAGCACAAATCACTTCTACCAAGTTTCTCCTCAATCTGCCAATGTCCCATACCTAGACCACAAGTGAGGAACTTGACTTATTGATGGGAAATGTGACTCACATCCGGCCAGCCATCGCATTTGATGTCTGCTAGGAGTTTCTCCGTAATGCAGACAATGTTGAGCCTGGCTCGAAACCTGTTCACGTTGACTCTGAAGTGAGATACTTCAACCTTCTCGCCTTTCTGACGAAAAGCCTTCAGCTGCATAGCAGGCATTGCTTCACAGTCGCATGTTATTGTCTGCAAAAATAGAAAATATTAACATCAGATGTATCTAGGGTTCTCAGATACCCCGTTTTCCCTGGATTCTTCCGTGTTTTCACCCAAATTTTGTTCCTCCATTTATTGTTTACCCGAAGTGGATAATTCTCCGTTTTTTCATTTAAGTCCATTACGAATTATATTTCATGGGTTAAACATTATCATAAAATTTCTGTAATCCTCGGAAAATGACTTTGTTATAGTTTCTTTCGTTATGTTGTGGAGCGAATCTTTTCATTCATGAAAAGTAAGTGGAGTGACACACGAAACAGATGCTCAACAGATTTAATCAAGGCAGAACTCCAGGTGACAGTGAACTATGAAAGCAAGTCCTGTTCAGAATTTTATAAATTTTCAAAGGGTGATGTTCAATTATTAAAAAGTGCTAAGAGTTCGGTGAAATACAATTAACAGAATCTGATCAACCAGCCCTTGAAAGTTATAAATATGTAGTATTTAATATTTGTGTGTTCCACAAATGTGTGCTAGGTAATATTTTTTGTGCATTCTATAAATATGTAATAGGGCTACGTAATATTTGTTTTGTTTTATAAATGTGTAGTAGGCCTATGTAATACAGATGTGTAGTAGCATTTTGTAAGTTATGTAGTATGTTGATTATGTATATTTTATAGCCTATTAGTTGTGAAAAATGTCGTTATAAACAAGCAATGAGACAGCACTCCTTTTTTTATTTTACAAAATCTGGCAACCCTAGATGTATCATAAAAAGGATAAACACTGACATTCAAATTCATCATATGAGAAATTACATAAATAGGAGACTTGCTTAAAATCAACACATGAATTTGATAAATTATAAAGATTTTATTGTCACAGGGATATGTTTCAGGAAAAGTTACAAAAATCAACTGCCTAAAATGATGCAAAAATTTGTTTCTTCTAGTCATTAAAATTAGAATGGAAAGGTAACTGATAAGAAGAGGGGAACATTATGTCAACAGTGTAACTGGGTGACAAATTTCAATGTGCCATTTAGTCATGGTATATAAATATTTTACACAACCTTACCTAGAACAAAATATTGCATATGACAATACATATTCATAAAATACATACTGAATATCAACAAATGTGAAACTAAAACATTCTGGCAGTCAACAGGCATTTTGAGTATGCCTCCTGGGTTATGATGCTGTGTAGTTCAGAGAAAGCTCAAAGTTTTGGAGAAACAACTCACCTCCATCATCATGGTAAAAGAGAAAGTAAAGCTAGAAACTACCAGAAGCAAATGGCAAACTCACTCTCAACCTCATGGAGTTAAAATGTTCCTCCAAAATGTTGGGCTTTCCCCAAACTACATGGCTTTACAACCAGTAAGACCATAATGACCACAGTCACCACGATGAAAACCTCAAATTCAGCCACTGGCATTAGATTAATAAGATAACAAGTGAGGATGAAACGAAACAACATATGTTTCGACAAATATGTAAGTTATTTTTGGTAAAAAAAATCTACATAAATGTCAGTCTGAAGAATCTTAATGTCTGCAGAATATCTATACAGCCTTGTACTCTTAGGTATGTACTTTTGTGGCTGCAAAGAATTATCAGAAGAAAGTTAAAATAGTGTGATTTTTGGACAATAATACAATTACAAGACACATACAAAACGCCTCGAGACAATACTGGCTGGGCTAAATCAAAGTTTGCTATGTAAACACATTCAGATACACCAGAGCACTTCAAGTGACATTACAAACTGTCCCTCATTAATCTGGAAGAATTAAAGAGTTAACAACGTAAATGCCATTTGGGTAACTTGCAGCTACAGGGAGCAGCTGTCTGCCAAATGCATGGCGACCTGCAGTTTGGATGACTCGACTACCCTTGATACTGCAGTGTGTGTTAAAGTATCCCAGTAATCTGGAGAGATTCCAATACAGTGCTACACGAGTTGGCATGGTGGGTGGAAAGACAGGTTTAAAATACCAACCACCAGACCTGTAGCAAACAACAAGATGGGTCCTAATCCCATTTCTCTAATAATGTCAGGGTGTATTCATACACTTAAATGCAATATCCAAACAACCCTGCAACTTCACTTAAATAATCATCACACTCATTGCATCATTTTAAGATGAGATTAGTGTTCTGTTCAGTTCCTCTGTGTTATTCTGAAACTAAAAGGAACACCTCTGACAAGAGAAAATTAACATACTGCACTTCTGACAAGTTACTAGATAAATAAGTGCAATGTGGGTGAGGTTACACAAAATTATCAGTCAGCTGTTAGAAATTAAGTGCATTCAGTTTCTCCTTTTAAAGGTTTTCCTAAAGCTCCTAATTTTTGCAAGATGATTTTGAAGTTTCAAAATGGAAACTCCTTACAATTTTTTAAAGATATATCATAATTCTTTATGTTCAGGTCACATGATTTAAGTAACACAGAAATCCACATACATACACAGTGTTGCCAGTGAATTGTATGGAGTTTGTGCGGACATATGCATTAGAAATAAAAAAACATGTCAATGCTGCAAAAACCAGAAACCACAAGAGAAAACTTTGTCAAGTAAATTATTTATAATCAGCTGATAGAAAGGTAGCATACCATGCACATACTTTAAATTAGGCGGGGCATGCAGTAGCGTAGTTGGTTGAGTCACAATGCTACAAGCTGGAAGGTCACAGGTTTGATTCCCAATGAGGTCAATGGATTTTTTAATTGACCTAATCTTTCCAGCTGCACTATAGCCCTGGGGTCGACTCACCCTCTAACAGAAATGAGTACCAGGAATCTTCCTGGAAGGTATAGGGCGGATGGATGGTCGGTGTGTACGGCTGACAACCTCACTGCCATCTGTGTGCCAATTGTCTAGAAAATGTGGGAGTCTCGAAGTCTCACAACCCTATAGGCCTCCATGACCTGTTAAATTAGGGAATTTTTTCGCGTTGTTTGCAATAATTCTTGGATCTAACTTATTGAAACAGGATTTTGGATGTAGTATCACGGAGCATCACCCAAATACGTCCAAGCAAGTATCCATTAAGACATCATTATTTAAAAAAAAAACAGTTCACAAACAAGCATATTTTGGTTGAGCTTGTTCAGTATATCTGGACACTATATAATAGATTTGGAGCTGGGATAGCATAATTTTTTTTTTATTGCTAGTGGGATGGGCCACTTCTGGCCGATTTTACCAGTCCCAAATGATAGGTGAGGGTGACTGTGGAGCAATTGGTGGAATGAAGATTGGCAGGGGAAACCAAAGTACTCGGATAAAACCTGCCCCAGTGCCACTTTGTCCACCACAAATCCCACGTGACCAGCCCCGGGATCGAACCTGGACCGCTGCAGTGGGAAGCCAGCGACTAACCGCTTGAGCTATGGCGCGGCCCTGGGATAGCATAGTTAGTATAGTGTCTAGCTATAGACTGGATGACCAAGGGGTTGGAGTTCAAGTCCCAATAAAGTCACGAATTTCCTCTTCTCCACGTCCTCCGGACCAGCCCTGGGGCCCATCCAGCCTCCTATCTAATGGGTACCGGAGGCTCTTTGCTTGATGGTAACCGGCAGGGGTGTGAAGCTGACCACTCACCTCCAACTAGTGCCTAGGTAGGAAAATGTGGATCTATACATCCACTCCCCCATACACCTTCATGGCACAGTTAACCACAGGGACTTTACTTTGCCACACCTATATACAAAATTTTATGCATGTATTTTTAAGTTTAGTTTCATTTGCATTTGTATAAGGTATGTGGGTAATAATGAGCACTTTTTTGAGTTCTGGCTTCTGAGATCAAGCATAATCATGCTTGCTGCCTGCTTTATGCTGGTGTCTTGCCTGGCTTACTCTTCAACTCTGAAGATGGTAGCAACATGACTTTGATGGACTACATGGCGCTATAACCCAGAAGACAGAACTCTTCATTACCACCGCTGTAAGAACCTCATATCTTATATGCTTTTGTTGCGTTCATCCACTTTATTCTTCAGCTTAAGCTTTCGAAGAATGGTTTTCAATCTTGTGTGTGTTGATAACACAAATAAACTCATACTACCAAATGTAGCTCAATCAGCCATTCCTGCTCAATAAGTCACTTACTGCAGTCTTTCAGATAAGTGGATTACATACATGTAAAAAGGTTGAAAACCATAGTTCTGAAGAAAAATTTGTTGTGAATGCAATCTGAAGCATTTTTCAGTTGATACTAGTGATGTGTAATCCCAGTATTTTTCCTGTCAGTGACACAGATTCTATAACCAATGTGACCTCACCAACAGAGGCCATGCAGACAAATCCTGAAGAGGGGCTGCTTTAAAAATTAAACCATACTGTCATAATTGTTTTCTATGAATAGGCAGCCTTCATTCCAAAATATCTGAAATTGGGTAAAGTAACTTCAGTAAACAGGGAGACATGCCACTGCCAGCAATGTACATAAATTTCAAGGTACTGAAGATGAGTTATGATGGCTTGAAACTGATGGAACTGTCACACTTGGACAACTCTATCCACAATGACCAAAAATAATTGCACCGCTTTGATCCATTTAATGACAGTCATCTCATCCTTTGCGGGAAATAATGACTATACATATATGTATGAACTAAGAGTCAGAAGGACACTGGAAAGGTAGTCACATCGAATACAGAATGGAATCAGAACAGATCATAAGAATACATACCTCTTAAGTTCTCATGTTGTAATGCTGAAAATTATGAAGACAATGAATTCTAACGTTGAAGACTATTTTCCTACAGAAGCAGAAAAAGTCTTTAAGAGGTCAGATTCCATCCAAGCTACTTGTTTTCTCTCAGCTATTATAGAGCACAACTATGTAAGTGAACTCAACAATAAATTCATTATCATTGTTGTCATCTTTGTCCTCCTCCTCCTCATCACCATCATCTTCATCATAGGGGTCAGAAACGACTTCAGACCTAAGTAGTCACGCCAGATCAGCAGAGGAGTGCTGGGAATTACCAACACGTTAACCAAGAAA